ATTTTGATAATGGTGGTGATGAAACTGATATGGAATTTCTAATTACTTCCTTTAAAATTGAAATATCATCTTGAATTGGAGTCTTTTGATTATTTTTAGAAAGTTGTTCTTCAAATTCTAAATAATCAAATGGTTTTTTGAAGTTTGTCTACAATAACAATATCAGAATCATTATTATGTAAAATAATTTAGGCTTTAATTCCCCAAAAATTATTAAATTATTCTTTTTTTTACCTCGTCACCATCATCGTCATCACCACTTTTAGATTTCAAACACACCACAACACGATTAGATAAATCATCTGACGCAGATCGTAAATGATTTTTTTGATTTTTATCATTATTTTCTTCACTGGCAAAAATTATACCATTTCCATTCTCTATATGACTAGATCTTCTTTTAGTATTGTTTACCAGTACAGGTGTTAACATTCTTCGGTCAGTATCTAAAAATCCAGGTGCAATTTTTCTTGCTTCCTCTTTTTGTTTTTGTAGTCGTGCTTCCTGGAAAGCTTGAAGTTTTTGTGAGCGTATTTGTGCCAACTTGATGATTTCCTCTCTATACCTTTCAGTTTCTGAAATAACACTACGTTCAAGATTAAAGTCATAATGACCCTAACATAAATTGAAATCATTACTAAAATTTGATTAGCGACTTAAAAATTTTTTTTTAAAAAAAAAAAAAATCAAATATTTATTTATAAAGAAGAATACCAATTGAGGTATATCAAGATTGAAATCGGCAGGCAACTTTATCTAAAATAAAAAATAAAAAATAATACAATGGTTTTAATTAAATCCTTTATAGATCTTTAATTTTGCCAAATAAAATAAAAACAACATACTGGTTTTAAGGACATGAATTGAGGAGTTAAAACAAGAGGAACATCTTCAATAGAAGAGTATATTGATGAGATTGACATTTTTTAAAAAATGATTTGAAAAAAAATTTAAATTCCCCCAATTTAAAAATCTTCAAAGACTGTTCGTTCGTATGATATTCTAAAGGGTAATTTTGTATCACATTATCGGATAACCGTGTATTTTTGCGGAAAAGTATATGGGCATCCGTTTACACCCACCATTGATAATTTTCACCTTTTTGAT